CGGGGGACCCTTCAGGGGACCCTGGGTGCCTGCGCTTAGCCGGGTGTGAGATTTCAAAGGTCTGGGGAATGCCTGACTGGAGGGTCCCGGCTGAGCTCTCGCCAGCCCCCAAAGCTTGTTAGGGGGTCTGCTGGGGCCTCCTCCTCAGTCCAAGAACCTGCGTTGTTTTCCATGAAAAAAGGGGGATGCTGACCTGGTGACAAGAGAGGAAGACACCTAGTGTTTGTAAAAGAAGAACAACATGAGAAACCTCAATATTAATGAGAAATAACAAGTCCTTCCAGAAGCTGCCCTTGTGCATCCCCTCCTGGCATTTTTCCTAGGCGGAGAGAGTGTCCTATGTCCTTTTACTGAAAGACCTTCTGAAACCCATCCCTTCAGGTGGGAGCGACAGCCATTTCAGAGGTACACCATATGACAGCTTTTGAGAGCTGGAGGGAGTTGCATCGAACCGGCAGGCCAGCAAGACGGAAACTTGGGAGTAGAAGCTCTTGAGCATGACAGAATCAACGACTATGTAACGACTGTCCAAAATGCCCGAGGACTCAGTGGGTGGCAAAGATGCAGTACCTACAACAACAGCATTCTGTAAGGAGCTTGGTTTGAGGGAACCTTTGGAAGGCAAAATGAATGATCCCAGATATTTTGTTTTATTTTTTAATAAAACAGCTATTTTACTGCATCAAGTGTTGAAGAAAGCAAGCAGCGTAGTGAGGCATGGGGGGTTTTTTTGCAGAATTGGTGCTGGTATTGTTCCCACCAATTTGCCAAGCAGATATAAACTCAGTGTGCCTTAGTGTCCTAGATCATTCAAGATCTGGTTCTAACTTTTTATTATTTTTAGAAGGCTGTGCAGAATGTACCAAGACCCCAATAGACGTGTTGTTTCTAGTTGTTTCTTTGTCAGATTACACTATTTGCTAGCACTTATTTAGCCTCTCAGTTGAAATCCCTCAGAAGTCTTGGATGCAGAACATCTGGACCTAGTAATGATTTTTTCTCATAGTGCTGGTCTTTCTTATCGAAAAAGATCAATTTGGGATTAAAGATCCTCTTCCCATTCCTTTTGGAGGAGTCAGACGCAAAGGAATTTGTATGCATAGTACTTTCTTTGCCTTCCTTTACCCCTCCTCTCTGCCAAAAGGGCATCCACTGGATTTCCTGTGTTTTTCTCAAGCTTTCTGCTTCTGGTACATTGAAAATATTTATCTGATTTTTGCACCTGTAGCTGTATCTTTGTGGAAAAGCATCAGGTCTCTTTCCTTCATATAACATTTGCTTTATTTGCTGCTCCTGCTTATTAACTCCACCTGGGACAGATTTCCAGATTTGGTTGCTTTATTGTACAGACTTTTGGTCCTTCCACTTCAGCTCTACTGATTTGCCTTGTGCCATCTTGATTCCCTCAGTGTTCAGAAAAATTTTCCTACTTCCTAGTGTTGCACTGATCCATTCTTTATCCTGCAGCATTTGGGAAGTAAAGCTTCCTGTGGCCATAGACAGTTATTTCTGCATTGGTGGCGGCTGGCTTTTGAGCATTTTTCCTTGAGGTCTGTCAAACAAAAAAGCTCAATGGCCACGCTTGTCACTTTTGTTGGTGCCTGTATTTTGTCAGTAATGCTCATCTGTGTGAAGTGCTCTGCTGGTTACAAAAGCAAGACTGCAACATCTGTGAAGCTTCAGGTACCATTCTCAGCACCCCAGAGCCGGTGGAATTTGTGTTTATATACAGCCATGTCTGAGGCCTCGTAGCCTTTGTAGATGGTGTCACCCTAATCTACGCAGATTATGCACCTCAGCCGCCATTGTCCTCTCTATTACAAAGAAAGTAGTTTCAGGACCTGGTACAGGTATTACAGTGATTGTGGAGGTGCCTACTGCATACCCAGGTCTTGCAGTGAAACCGTACATAATTGCGTGAATGCCTCTGGTCAAACTGGCTCCAGGTATCATCAGTTCTTGGTGAAGAGCCATGAAGCAAGAGTATCTGTGTTACAGTAAATAATCCAGTGCTCAGCTTGCATTTTGCGTCTTCGAACAGCTCGCACCTTCTCCTTGCCCCCTTGGAGCTGCAGGGCTAACCAGGGCAATGGATTAACCCTGCACAGGGGCGAGTGGGACAGCTCTGCTGTGCACCTGGGACTGTCCCCAGGGTGGGAAGTGAAGAGGAGGATTAAACTGCCAGTTGTCATCAGAGGCAGCAGTGAGGCCCAAAAGTATCTGAATTAAGACATGAGTTACCAGTGTTCAAGGAGGTAAGCAGCAAGAAGGCCAAGTATGTAGATGACATGAAGCTATTTGTCAGGAGACAAGAGAATGACAAGAGCTTTGGAGACACGTGAGAAAGCTGTGCTCATCAGCAATAGGAAAGCAAATGAAATTCAGTATCACTGTTCCCAAAGTCATGTAGCTGGAGGGAAAATATGAACTGCATAAATACTTCTAGGCTTTGGCTTACTGTAACTGTACCAGGTCAGGCGAGAGCCCCGGGCATCACAACAGGCATTTCACTGAGGACACAGTGAACAGCTCGGTACAAGCTCAGTTCTGTTCAGTGGGGAACGACAGTCAGAAGAGCGGACAAGACGTCAGGAGCCATGAAAGGCAGGATGGAAGTAATGTGGAGAAAGGCACCGTGCCTCCATGTAAGCCAGCACTGCTCCCCCACTGGGCTGCTGCCTCCTCTTCCAGAACAAAGGATCCAAGGACAGTTGACCATGCACAGAGATGGGCCTGAGCAAACTGTCAGGGAGAAAGTCCCCAAAATCTGGGATTTGCACCTGAAGGGCAATGAGTCAGGAGGGGATGGGGAAATAAGAAAAAAAGGGATGTGATAAAAGGCTGCAGCGTAATGACTGGCCAAGAGACGATAGATTGGGAGTCCCTCTTCTTCCAGCCTTTGTGACAGGAAAAAAGAAAGCAGATGATGAAAGCGGAAAGCTTTGAATTCAAAACTGATAAAGAGGCACCATTTTCACACAGTGAATAAGCAGACCCGAGGAGTGATTGCCAGAGGAAGTCAGAGAGTACAAGAAAACAGCGAGGTTTAAAGACAGACCGGGCACACATCTAAGCAATGAGAACATCCAGGCTGGTAACAGGCAATGCTAAAAGTATTACAGGAGGGGAGAGCATCCCATTGTGCATGAGAAGAGAGAGCAAACCGCTGTCAGGCACTGAGAGAGTATGATGAGCTGAATTTTGGATTGCTCCTTAGCCCCACTGGGGCTAACCCACATTTTCTCTATCTCCAAAGCATCTGTCAGAGAGAGGAGTCTGAGCCAGACAGATCACTCCCAACTTGAAAAAACGGCAGCATTATCATTTGCCTAGGAAGATGCCTGGTACCAGGCTGGACTGTCCTTCCTTATGTTGGTTCTGTTTCAGTGTCTGCCTGAAATTGCATGAGACAGTTGAAGCAGACAAGTCTACCTCACACCTCTGCTTGCATTTCTCTAGGACTTACTGGAGAAGTGGGTATAATTTTCAGTAAAATACATGGCTAGCTGAGTAGTTAAAGAGATGTGGAGTCCAGACATGCTCCCCAGAGTGGGCTAATTGGGCTTTTTGGGTGCTGCTCCACTACCTGCAGTCTGAGGATCCCAGAGTGCATTCATTACCTGTGTGCCTGAAGCTCTTGAGGGGAAGGTGAGGGCCACACATCAAGAAGGCCTCTTCACTTTCCTGCTGAAATAAAGAAAAGCTGGCCTGGTAGTGAAGCCCTCTGCTTGAGTAAAGAGAATCTCCCTTCCTAAACACTGAAAGCTTCATTTTCGTACCACCACCTCCTTGCTTGAGCAGCCAACAGGCCAGTGACCCATATGGGAGAAACTACGTGTGTTTCTCTTTCCTAGTGAGGCTTTCTTCTGGGGTGGCATGCAATGACTCTTCAAGAGCAGTACCACAGTCCTCCATGGCTGTTTGGAGAGTAGATGAAGAGCATTCTCTAACTAGATGAAACCTAAACACATTGAGGGTCGTGGGAGATGGGACTTGGCAGACTCACGATTACATCAGTAAGTACATCTTTAGCTGAAGGAGAGTGACAGAGACCCCTAACATTAATGGGAGATCTATCAGGAAAATGTGAGGACTGAGAGAAGGAATAAATGAATGAATGAGCAGGGAGAGCCAGACAGTGGGAAAAAAAAAATTACTCTGAAGGACAGCAAAAAGGAGAGACTGAACCTGTGATTCTTTCTTCTCTAGTGGCATTTAATTTCCCCTTCCTCACCATCAAAATGTCAGAAATGAACAGGCAACTTCGGTAAAACACAACTGAAAGAGAAAGAGAAGGCAGCAAAGTCCTTAGAAGCTGCTTCACACAGGCAGAGGTACACCCGGCACCATCAATAGGTGCAATCCTTCACAAGCACACGCAGGGGCCAGTGGTTTTTGTTTGTCAGACATTTATTTTAGGTTCTAAAATGAGTTTATAATAAAATAAAACGCTCAAAATGTGCAACATGCAGTCCTCTGTGGGGTCCCCTCTGCCACTGAATGAGCGCAAGAGCAGGGCAGTGCGGGGAGAGGGAGAAGAAAGTGGGCAGGGGGAAGAAAACACCATCGGGTTGCAGGGGAGCTGGGTTCCGGCCATCTCCTGCATTTAACTGTCCCACCAGTGAAAGGCTGTGAGAGAGGCCATGAAGGAGGGGCAAAAGGTCGGAGAGAGAAGTGGCACTGAAGCAGGCAATAGCTACTGGCTCAAATACTCCCAATAGCTCCAAAGCGTCTGTGCTGCCTGCCACATTACTGCAGTGGTGAGTCTCATCTTGCCCTGCTATGCAGCTTCCAGCCCCTCTGCAGGTACAGAGCTCCCATGGCCTCCTGCTGTGTTCATGCCATCCCTAGCACCCTCCTGAGAGGTCTGCATGGTGCCCATCTCTCTGCAGCATGGCACACAGAGTTTCATCCTCCCATGCAGACTGGGCCTGGTGTCCCTGCTCCCATCAGCACTCAGTTTGCTGGATCTTCTCTTTCTGGTTCTCCTCCACCTCCTTCTTCCTCGGCACAGTGACTGCAACCATCCCTTCCAGCGCTGGGAAGGCAGGAAACCGTGCCTGAAAGGGAAGAAAGGGGCAATATCAGGCATGGGAGGGAGACTGAATGTCACAAGTCTGGGCTTTTCCCTGCCATGGAAGACATGGTCCTACTGATTGCAACCACGAGGTTCCCATTCCCTCCTAGAGCCAGGGAAAAGCCCCAGTCCCACTCTCTGAGACATGTAGTTTCTTCTGGGGAAGGCTGGCTCAACACTCTACTCTGTGGTGTCATGGGCACAAGGAATAACAAAGGCAGGACATGCTTAAGAGAGAGCAAAGAATGATCTGGGCAATGGTCAGGCCATTGTCAGGTTCAATGCTATGCCAGATTTTAGAACACCTTTTCAGAGAGAATAATTAAAGGCATGAAGGTTCATGCAAAATGAGATAAGAACAAATTAAAGACAGAACCACTTTCACATCTTGCTTTAACAAGTGGCTTTCTAGACAATGGAAAAGAGGTAGATCTCAGGGCTCCTGATAAAGGTAAAGTATATGGTGACACACGGGCAATCAATACACCTGGAAAGATGAGATTAGTAAAAGAATGGCATGGTAGGTGTGATCTCAGCTAAGAGGAAGGGACTGGGATTTTGCTGGCAGGTTTCTGCCAGGCTGTAGAGAAATGATAAGCACAAGTCTTCAAAGATCAGTTGTGGGACCAATCATTAACGGCACAGAGAGTTATGTAGCTGATAAAGTTGAGGAACCTTATTTGGAAGAAAAGGGATGAAAATGTCACCCGAGACCCAGATATTTTAGGAGAATGGAGCAGTAAACTGAATGACAGGGTGAATGAAATGCAACAGTACCAACCACACGTTGATAGGCTCAGGGTATCGGAACAGGAATTCCTAATGTGTGGGCAATGGCCTATCAAGGGATACCGGTGAGCAGCCAGTGTTCAACCAATGCAAGAAGAGCAAATGTAATCTCAGAGAATGCCAGCAGAGAGGGGGAGAGAACAAGAGAAAAGCTAATATCTTTGCTCAAGGCACTTCATCTGCACTCTCACAAAGGATGAGCCCACCAGGGAGACTGTGCAGAGAAAGGCAGGAAGACCATCAGTGGATGGAGCTGTGGACCTGTGCTGCAACAGAGGAGCTTTGCTTACTTGGCAAAGCAAGGCTGTGAGGGCATATACAAATGCTTTGAGGCAGTAAGTATCCTGGCCGGATTAGAGCTCTTTAAGATAGCAGAGCTGGACGCTCAGGTATCTTATTTCCTGCTAGCTCTGGGTTTACAGTTACACTGTAAAGGCTTATTTGTCCAAGGTTTTAGGCCAGAAAGGGTGGTTCTGATCATCTTGTCCTGGACTTGCACAGTCTAGAGGGTCACCCAGAAACTGTAGATCTCTGCCTTAGATTATCCTTTACCATCAGTGCTGATTAAGGACCGATGACAAAGAACGAGTCACGAGTCTCTCTAGTGCTACCCGCAGTGGTTTTTTTAAAATGCCCGTCTTGCTTCTGTTCTGATGTTGCCTGTCTTCAGCCTCAGCCACCGGGATTTGCTAAGAATTTGCATCAATGCTGTCACATCCCTCATCTTCAGCTCAAGGCAGGTTCAAGGCACCCAGCTCTTTTGCCAGCGCAAGTTCTCCCAATCTGAGATTGCTCTGAGCCCCCAGCCCCTTCTGCACTAGAAGGAGATTTTTCACTGTGGGCCCTTTCCAAGAAGCTGTGGAAGGAACTGCAACAGAGGAGCTTTGCTTACTTGGCAAAGCAAGGCTGTGAGGGCATATACAAATGCTTTGAGGCAGTAAGTATCCTGGCCGGATTAGAGCTCTTTAAGATAGCAGAGCTGGATGCTCAGGTATCTTATTTCCTGCTAGCTCTGGGTTTACAGTTACACTGTAAAGGCTTATTTGTCCAAGGTTTTAGGCCAGAAAGGGTGGTTCTGATCATCTTGTCCTGGACTTGCACAGTCTAGAGGGTCACCCAGAAACTGTAGATCTCCGCCTTAGATTATCCTTTACCATCAGTGCTGATTAAGGACCGATGACAAAGAACGAGTCACGAGTCTCTCTAGTGCTACCCGCAGTGGTTTTTTTAAAATGCCCGTCTTGCTTCTGTTCTGATGTTGCCTGTCTTCAGCCTCAGCCACCGGGATTTGCTAAGAATTTGCATCAATGCTGTCACATCCCTCATCTTCAGCTCAAGGCAGGTTCAAGGCACCCAGCTCTTTTGCCAGCGCAAGTTCTCCCAATCTGAGATTGCTCTGAGCCCCCAGCCCCTTCTGCACTAGAAGGAGATTTTTCACTGTGGGCCCTTTCCAAGAAGCTGAGTGGAAGGAAACTACATCACAGCTACTCACGAAAGGTGTCCCTTGTTAGCAAAGAGAAACCCTGAAGGAAGAATTTGCCATGTAATTCATTTGCAGAGAAACAGTATGAAAACTGCAGAGAAACAGCCTGACTTGTTTGCATGTTTTTTTCCAGTGGCATGCTGGGGAGGGATCAGTCCTGGCCTGGTCTTTGGGATGATAAAGGCAAGGCAGAGTTTTCAGAAGACAAGATACTGGAACAAGCTGAGAGAACAGTGAAAGGCCAGTAAGTTGCCAGAAGCAGGCAGCCAAGGTGTGAGGGATGAGCCAGCAACAACAGACCTGCATCGAGACTGGCGTCTGGGGACCAGCAGGCATTTATATGGAACAGGAGACTCTGTGACACCAAAGCATCCAGATAAGGAATAAGAGAGAGGACACCTACAAAAGCCTGGAAATTAACCCTCCTCTATTACAGTGTGGCTTGATCTCTGCAAGAATAAGCCAAAAGCTTTTCAAGGCTGGGCTGTGATTGTCTCCTAGGAGGTTTCAGCCCTCCTCTGAAGTGTCTGACCTGCCCCCAGATGAATGCCATGGTTAGCCAGACTTGCCAATGCCCAGGATACAGCTTTCACTACATGACCATGGTGCTCTCAGCAGGCTGCCTGAGCCCCATTCTTCCTCTGGCTGCTGTGTCCCTGAGACATTTCACTGCTGTCTCTAGGGTACCCAGGCAAAGGTCAAATAAGGAATGATGTACAGGAAAACTAACAGAAATGAGGTGATGGACACTTACCCTTTTTTGTAGGGCCAGAGCCAGAACACAGGCCGCAAGGAGGAGGAAGAGGGTGAGCGTAAGCCCAAAAGTAACCTGCCCACTGAAGATGGTGGGAGGGCTGGAGACCTGGGCACCTGTGGGGAGGAACCACAGTTAGGAAGGAGAGAAAGGCTGATTTTGTACTGGGGCAAGGCTGGGACTGCACAAAGAAAGGCAAACTGGAAAAGGGTGCAGAGAACTGGAAGGAGAAACAGAAGGAACTGGTGAGAGCTAAGACAGGATGACAACAAGATGGGATCCAAGTGGTCAAAGGGGAGAAGGAAGGGGTGAGGCTGAGAGAGGAAAAGGCACTAGGGAATTGAATAGGGCAAGAAGGTTGCAGATCCGCGGGACACAGTACCTGTGATCTGCAGCCCGTACTCCACTGCTCCCAGTCTGCCTTCTGGGCCATATACACTGCACTCCCATGTGCCCGTATCCTTTTGTGACACTCGGGGTATTTCCAAGGTAGGGCCCGTCTGGGACCTGTGGCCCTCCAGGTTACGGGAGGTGGTGACAGCCAGCTTGCTGTTAGTGGGGGCTGAGTCAAGGTGCTTCCACTGGAAACGTTCATGTCCCCGGGGGTGTGTGAGGCTGCAGATGAGCAGCAAGCGAGACCCCTCAGAAACCGGTCCTTGGATGCTTGGGGTGACTGCAGCAAAGGAAAAAAATATCCTCAGGAAAGACTACAGGCAGGTCCACATCTCTTCCCCATCCCTCCTTCTTCTAACACACCCCTCCTTCTTTACATCCTTTAATTTATTTTTTTGTCTTCCTCAGTCTTCAAGAAGAATAATCAAGTTACCCAGGAAAACCCCTGCTTTCAGCAGAGTGCAGTGCAGTGCAATGCCCTGAGCAGAGACCTTGTTTCCCGCCCTGGGGTGAGAACCTATGAGCAGGAGCAACCCACGCTCACTGCACTGGCATGCAGGGAGATTTATCTGCAAGCGGTGGGGGACCCCAGAGGGGTGATGCACCTCCCTGTCTCTCCTCTCACCTGTAAGCACTGCCAAGGTCACGTCCCTGCTGATTGTCTTGCTGCCAACAGAGACAGCACAGTGGTACTGCCCTGCATCACCTGGCCCCACTGCAGGCAGACGAAGGGGGAAGCTTCTGCTGCTCAAATTCTGGGAGATGCCCCAGTCTTGCAAGTGTCCTCCTGCAAGGCGGCTCCAGTGGACTGTCACCATGTTAATCCCAAATGCACTGGGAAGGTAGCTCAGGGTGCACGGTAGATCAGCTGCAGAGCCAGCTGCAGCATAGACCACAGGGTTCGTTGGGCCATCAAAACCTGAGCCAGAGAGAGAGGACAATGTGGGGTGGTGGCTGGAAAGAGCTCCACAGGGAGGTGACTGGCCTGGGAAGTGAGGGCAGGGTGGGAGCTGGGAAGCTGGAGCCAGTGGGGTTGGTCAGTCACATCAAAGGGAGCAACTTGGGGATGGTGGAGTAGCAATGCAGAGGCTGAGCTCACCTAGAATTTTCAGGTTGTACGTGGCAGAAATGATCTCATTATCAGAGTATCTGAGCTGGCAGCGCCAGGAACCCGCATCACTCATGGCTGGCCGGAGGATGGAGAGAGCCCCATGCAAGGAGCAGAAGGTCCCAGAGGTGGGGACCAGGTGCCCGTTGTGGAACCAGCGTGTCTCCACAAGGCTGGCCTGGTGGCTAGAGTTGCAGCTCAACAGGAGTGGCTCGTTTTCTACCACAGGGCTGGGTGGACTGAGGGTTACTGCAAGGAAAAGAAAGCAGGAGAGGCGGGGGAAGTTAAGATCACGGGGGGACTACCAAACCATCCCTTTGTGCCCCTCCTGTCCTAGCTTTGTCCCTCGGGCAGTCCTCTCTCCAGAGCTGAGAGCAGACAGCAGGAAGCTGTGCACTTTCGGGGGCTGCTGCCGGTACTCTAACCTGCCCTGGCAAACACAGCATCCCCACCCCCTCCCACACTTACAACCTCCCCGGACCTTAAATCAACATTCTCCAGGGTTTCCATCTTCTCCTACCTGTAATTACCCCCAGGTCCACCTGGCAGCTCTGGACCCCTGTGTTGTATGCCACCTGTGCCTCATACAGCCCGGCGTCCTCGCTCCGGACCGGGTCGATTCGCAGGGAGAAATTGCCATTGCGTAAGGCAGAGTCTTGGACTGACACCCGGGGCCTCATGGGCAGCGCCGTCTTCCGGAGGCCGGAGTACCCCACCTCCAGCACCATGTGTGGCTCCTGGTGGGCGCTGCGAGCGGGACAAGTGAGCGGCTTGTGCCAGAGGCAAAGGTGAGATCAAGGGTGAGGGGCAGGAAGGAGGGAATACGGGGAAGGAGAAAGAGGGGTCAAACTGCCTCCCACCCTCCCCAGTCCCCCCACAAGGTCACAGATCTGTCTTGGCCCTGGTGTACCTTCCCCCATGTCGCTTCCACAGCACGGATGTCTTGTCAGACAGCTGCTTCCAGCTCTTTCTGGGACTCAGGTGGCAAGGCAGCACGGCTGAACTCCCTGCTCTGGCCCACACTTTCTGCTCCCTGCTTTCCCAGTCTGCTACTCCTGGTAGGATGTGGCCAGCTGTAACGAGATGGAGGGTTGAGCAAAGGGTGAGACTCATGGAGCAGAGGGCAATATCTGACCATCTTCAGTGGGGTTAGAAGGGCACAAATTCTCCCTTCCAGACCTGTCAGGGACCAAGTAACACCCAGACTCAGTTTACTGAGCTACTCTGCCCACCCTGCATACATTCAGCTCCTCTTACCGTTGAAAGCCAGCAGAGTGAAGGTGAGGAACATCACCAGGGACACCGGCCTCATGGTGACATCCAAGAGAGGCAAGGGGCTGCGTCTTCCCACTTGGGTCCGTGCTTGATCAGGTCCAAAGCTTTAAGAGATCAGCAAAAAAGAGGCATGGGCAAAGAAGATGTTAGAGTGGGTGGATGAAGCAAGAGGGGGTCAGCTGGACGTGCTTGCTCTCGTGCTGTCTCTCTCTGATCAAAGCGTTTCCCTAGATGCCCTTATATTGCAAGTGGGCAGCTAATTTCCTCATATCACTAAGAAGATGCGTCACGACCAAGAAACCAGTATAAGTCTGAGGCACGTGAAGGCAGAGCTGAAGCCAGTGAGAGAGAGGAGGGAGGGACCAGAGACACTGCTCTAAGCATCTTTTAGTGGAAATTCTTTGGGTCGCTGTTGTTTTTCTTACGTTTCGCTTCTACATAGACAGTGGAAAAAGTGTAGAAGACACTTCCCAGCAAGTGCCCTTCATGTTTTTCTTTCATCTCTTACCTTTTTTGGTTTGATCTTTCCGCCTCTTACAGCTTGTCTCTAATTGTTTCAGGGCTTTTGAGAACGTGTTGGTCTTTTTTCTGCTGTTCTTTGTTGTTGTTGTTGTTGGGTTTTGGGGTTTTTTTTTCCTTCTTTAATCCTTCAAATGTGCTGATTTTTTGGCTTTTTCTCATTGGCCAGTTCACAGGTAGCATGAGGAAAGGGTCTATGGTGAGCTCCAACAGGGGAACATGTGACCCGTCAATCCAGAGCCTAAGGGCAATCTGGGACAAAGCTGAGGTGGTCTGAGGAGACAGAGAGGAGCATCCAGGAGAAGCAACCAGCACTGAGAAGAGGGGCTGCACGCTGTGGCATTGCGACGGGTGCGAGGAAGGGACCCTCCTCCTCCTGCAGTGCTGGGAAAACCCACCCAAGCTTGTGCACTGAGGGGGTTCATCCTAGCTCCAGTGTAGCTGCTGAGCTTTGCACAGGGCAATACATTTCCATCAGTGTGCCTCATCCTGGGGCCCCTTTTGCCGTAGAGAACCCCCACTGTTGTGGCTCACACTTTCCAGCAACCCACTGGCTCTGACTCTTTTGGACTTAATCAGCCCTTCATGACAGGTGTCAGACACCCAAGCCCCTCGGCGGCTCATCCCCTGAGGGCTGGGGCTTTTCCTGGGGGTGAGGGAAGGGAGGTGACTCAGAGCAGCAGCTTCTTCACTGTGGAAGGATCCTTGCTTGCTCTCTAGGTTTCCTCAGCTGGGTAGTGAAGGTGGAAGATAAAAGAGAGCAAGTGGTACGCCTTGCTTCAGCAGCTCCCTGTTGTGGTGACAGTTCTCGTCTCTTTTATCACGCATGGCTCTTCAGCATCCTGAGGAATGGGATCGGTGTAGGGGAACCTGGTGCAACCTTGTGTGCCTCGATGTCCCCGGGGGACTGCTTTGTAGTGGTCCCTTGTGCCCTCTGTGTTACACAGGCCATGGGATCGCATGAGAGAGGAAGAGAGGAGAGAAGATGAGGGAGAACTTGTGACGGTTGGCAGGAGGTGTTTTTTCCTCCTGTTGAAGAAAAACAGTTTGTGGTGCCCAGTCCAAGCAGAAAGCATCAACCTCTCTTTCCCCTGAATCAGCAGAGTGAGAATGGTGTGAGTGTGTGGGTGAAGACGAGAGAGAGAGAAGAGAGATGGAACTGTGGTGTGGTGGGGAGACACGTATGGCTCTGCAGCCCGGCACCATCTGTTCCCCCTCCTTCGTGCTTCGCCCGGGGGACACCAAGCTCGCTGCTCTCCCCCTCCATCCCGACCTGGTCTGCACTCTTAGCCTCAGCACCCTGGAACTATTCCCATTTAGTCCCCAAAACCACCCTTAACTGAATCGGTGCTCTGGGAAATGCTTCTTTCTTGTAAGAACCAGCAAAGCAGAGCCATATTCCCTTCTGCTGCTGCTTCCCAAGAGGCGGTCACGAGGGACTGATGGAGAGCCCAGGAAAGTGACAGGAGCTGTCTGGCACTGGGGGGGGGGTTGGGGCTGAGGGGTTATCATGCTGAGTGAGCATGTTGTGAAATGAAGGTTTTGGAGGCACTATTTTACTCAGCACCAGGCTATCTTTAGCAAAGACACCTGTGACGTTTCTCTCTAACGACCCATTTTAAATGCTGACTCCCTTGAATGGCATTTTCATCATCTCCCAGAACAGGACCCCACCGCAGAAATAACGGTGACCGGAGCAAGATCAGCACGGGGGCATCTTCTCAGAACCGCCTGTGTGGATGCCCTGGGGCTTGATGAGCAGAGAGGCTGAGAGGGATGTGTGGGACTCCGGCAGAGCCATAGGGAATGAGGGGCAGGCTACGACAGGAGTAGCGCAGGACGGGGTACAGAAGCCCAGCTCACTAAATACTCCTTTGTCCGTGTTAGGCATTAACTAGCTTCAGCCAGGTTCCAGATTTACCCTCAGCAGTCACCTTGCGCACAACCTTAACACATTGCTTTTCTTGTCTCTCTTGGCATGTCTTACGGGTGCAAACTACACTTACCAAGAAAAATAGGAATAGAAAACACTATTCTGCAGTATCATTGAGTTAGTCTTGCTGAAGGAATTTTCCATTGCATTTCCAGTTTTCTGTGATACCATGTTTTTCTCTGAGTGATTCCACTTTCATGTTTTGGTCCTTGCAGCACCAAGTCTGAAGCTAGTCATAATCTTCTGCTTCATGCTGACTTTTTAAGGTGCTCTATAATTTATTTGCAGACTTTAACTGACCTAAGAAATTGCACTGTGACTTGCAGACTGGGTTATCAGCCATGCAACTTGAGATCAGCTGGTCTGCATGTTCCTGAGATAGAGCGCTCACCAAAAGGACCTCATGTAAAATGTCCTGTTTGCTGTTTGCCCAGAGCTTAAGCAAACATAACAAGCAAAAAGAAGTTACTTACTAATAAGAGATAACTAATAACTTTGTGGTGAGGGACTATAAACAGAAAGCAGCCACGCCTGGGGAGACAGAAGGGAAGGTCGGGCAGGGGATGTAGGATGTAGTGTGAGCAAAGGCTGCCAGGCAGGTTGGTAGTTGACAGACGCCGGGACAGGCAACAGGGTTTCCAGGGGTCAGGCTGGGATTAACTGCAAGACTTCTGGCACTGACTGGGAAGCTCAGGGAGCTAAAAGAGATCTACGCTCAGCTCCAGGGGGGAAGTAATGGAGCTGCCCTTCTCTGGGTGCTCAGGACAGACGCAGTGGTTCCTGAGTCAACACCTTGTGGCTGCAGAGGGGCCAAGCAGCAGAATTCTGAACGAGAAAGAGCCAGTGCCCACGGCTTAGCAGGCTTTGTGTGAGGTGCACAATGTGGAAATGCATGGAAATAGGCACCCCTGAGGTAGACGGATGCAAACCACTCTTCCTCCGCAAAAGGCCATGATGATTTCTACCAAGGTACCAACCTGAGATCCATTCTGTATATGAAATTGCTCAGCTTCTCTAAGGCCAAGGTGGGTACCAAATGTGCTTCCTTTCTCACGGGAGGAAGCGGTTGCCCCAGGTGTCTGTCCCTCCGTTATGCCTGGAATCAGCATATCTTCCCAGGGCCAAGGTGCCCCGTGCATCAGAGAGTGGTCTCAGAGGAGGGACACATTTATCTGAGGTGACAGATCCCAAAAAGGGCTGAGGAGAAGAGGATTAGAAAAGAGAAAGTTCACATCTCCCAGTAGTTCTGGGCAAAACCAAAATGTGCCTCTGCAGAAGTGCCAGGAGGAGGAAGAGTGGCTGGCTGCCTGACATTTGTTGGGAGGCTTTTTACTTTTGGAAAGGTCCTTTTTATAGGATTTGCTGAATGGGCAGTGCCTGGGTCACCGCAGGTCTCTGATGTGGAGCTGGGAGAGTCTAGTGGTGGCCTGCTTCCCAGAGTCCCATGGGAACACCTTTAGGAAATCATAGCTTTATGGAGTCTTTGGACAAATCTGCAGCCTCTTTTTTTACAGTGCTAAAAGGCGAGCGACCTTTGTTTGAATTGTTTGAATTAAAAAGTCAGGAACAACATATGGGGGTGCTGACTGAAGCTGTGGGCTGCATTTCTGCTAAAAAAAACAGTGATTTCATCACTGAAGAGAATCTGCAGCATTCATGGGCATATTTGGCAGCTAGCATCTTGTATCTGGCCAGCATTAGCTGTAGAGAAGTGTGTAACTGTTCTCTTTCAAAAGGCGTCCAGATCCTTCCCGGGGAAGACATGGGATGCTGCAGGATCCTCTTTGGACATCCACAACTACCTGTGGAGATGGTGATGGATACCCTGGCCAATATCTAGTTAAGCGATGTCTTTGATGCCGCAGGATGTCTTTGATGCCACAGCCTCTGTGTGTGTTTTGCAACACAGAGGGTGAGATGGATCAACTACAAAAATCCATGCAGCAAGCTAGGTTACATTTTGACTCACTTCTCATTGCAGCATTCATGACATGCTTTTAATCCAATGGAAAAATATGCGACAGGCTCCCAAATGTCCCAGGGCTGCAGTCAGTCTTCTCAAGAGCAAAGAGGTACCAAGGAGCCCAATGCATGCAAGGGATGGGAGAAACATGCCAGCTGTGAGGAGAAAGCTCTCAGTTACAGTGACCTGACACTGAGGTGAAGGAGTCAGGCACTGACCCAATGTGTCGCTGAGTGACTGGGGCAGTTGCAGAACAGTCCTAAAAAATTCCCTTGATTCAGGTATGGGCTGAAAGGAGCTGAACCTTGGTGTGAGAGTGGGACTCCCAAAACATTGTCTATTCCCCCAGGGGTAGCTGGAGAGAGAGGGTCCAACCATCTGCAGGATCCCTGGGCCCCGGAGGGTTGGACGCTGCAGTGCCAACAGCATGAGCTGGATGACAGATTAGTGCTGGATGTCCGGGGTAGTCCAGAAAGTGGGTGAGCACTGGCAGAAATGGCCAGCAAACAAGTCCTCTGAAAGAGCTGTCAGCACCAAAACCAGTGGTAAGAGTGGTGTCAGGACAGGCTGGGAGGATGATGCTGGACATGTAGTGACATCAGGCCACCCAGATTCCCCCAAC